ATATATAATTATCATATAAAGGATAGATATCGGGATATTAACAGATACCCTTTATTTATCTTATATTTATCTTATATGATATACCGATACCTATCCTTTATGTTACCATACATCCGCCAAAAAACAGTAGAAAATCAGATTAAAAATGGATACATAAATGATAGATATCAGGATGATAAAGGGATACCGATATGCATCCTTTATGTATTTATTGAACCCGTGTAATACATAGTATATCCAGAGATTATTCGTAATATTTAAGATAAAATCTTTAATAAAACTCAAAGACTAGATGGTTTCATTTTTTCTAAATATAAACTGAGTAGTCATTGCGGTAAAGTGTGTCGTTGAGGTGTATACATAATAGGACCTATATAATACATTAGTCTACTTGTAAAGCCAAGCGAGTGAAGCTCATTATCACTGTAGTCCAGAATGCATCGTGACAATATATAATTTATAAAATAACATTAATCCTTTTTCTTTTTCTTACGATTAATTTTTATTAAAAAACAATACATCGCGCAAGTATTGAGAACTTGATTAAGTATATTAATGTCAATAAGTGATTATAAAGTTTGATACAACTAAATTTAAATAAATAAAGTAATGATAATTTTGTGAAATAAAACTTGAATAGTTAATATTTTATATCGCATTTTTAATAATAAACATTTTTTTATTTCTTAAAAATGCGAATACTTATATTCATTAAGCAAGAAATCAAAAATAATTTAATACTATATTAAAATTAAATGTCATAGCTTTAATGAAATCGTAATTAAATCCATTAATATTATTCAACTGGTTATAACTTTCGCTCAAGTTTCATGTGCGTATTTGGCTGAATTTCTAAGGACTTATTTAAATGTTCCCATATGCTTCAGATCGGTCCATATGGCGGTATCTGAGGTTAAATTTTTAATTTCCTGAGCTTTTATAGAATCATCATTAGATTCATTAATTTTTTCTAACGATTTATAAACTTTCGCTCGAGTTTCAAGTGCGAACGCATTATTTGGCTGAATATCTAAGGACTTATTTAAATCTGCAAGGGATTTATCAAGTTGATTAAGATGTAAATAAACATTTCCACGAAGTCTAAGAATTGATGCGTCATCTGGTTTCTTTTCCAATGCATTACTCAAATCATGAATAGACTTGTCAAATTCTCCCAACATGAAATGTGTTTCTCCACGAATTTTTAGTGATAGCACTTGATTGGGATCTTTTTCTAACACCATATTAAGATCCTTAAGCGATTCGTCAAAACGTTTCAATATTCGGTACACATCTCCTCGAAGGACCAATAGGTTTAAGTTATTTGGATCTAATCTCAATTTTACTTGTAAATTTGCAAGAGATTGTTCATGATAATTCATTTTATAATAATCATTTCCATAAATTTCTATTATTGTTTGATGAAGTTTTTTTTCATTAATTTGATTTATTCTACTTTGCGTCACTGCGAAATTTTCTTCTAAAAGTTTATTTTCGGGGTCAAGTTCTTGTGCCCTTTTTGTGTCTTCCATTGCCTTGCCATATCGTTTCAAAAAAGTGTAGGTAACTCCTCGATTAATCAATGCTGCAGTCCAATCCGGCCTAATTTCTAATGCTTTATTAAAATCTGCAAGTGCTTCTTCATATTTTTCCATTTGGCAGTAGGTATTTCCTCGACTAGTTAGAGCTTCATAGCTATTAGGATCAATTTCTAATGATCTATTTAAGGCCACAAGTGCATCTTTATATTGCCCTTGAATTCGAAACATTTCTCCTTGATTAGCTAATGAAAATCCATCATTATTCATAAGTTTCATTGCACTTTGTATATCTGCATTTGCTTTATCATGTTCATTTAGCATTTTAAAGTTTATTGCTCTATTATTTATTGCAGTCGTATTAGATGGATCTATTATTAATACTTTATTTAATTCGCCATTTGCCTTTTCATATCGACCCTTGGCACTATAATGAAGGCCCAAATGTATTCTAGCACGTACATGATTAGGATCAAGTTCTAACGCCTTCTTTAAATCAGCCTCAGCTTTATCATGAAGTTTCATGCTATTGTAAACTGCTCCTCTATCAGACAAAGCATCTACGTTACCTGGTTCAATTTCTAATGCTCTAGTTAAATCTAATATTGCTTCATCAAATTTTCCCATAGTGAAATAAGTGCTACTTCGAAAATTAAAAATTTTGACATTATTCGGATCTAATCTTAATGCTTTGTCAAAACTGTTAAGAGAATCTTGATACCGTCCTAACCCACGATAGGCTTCTCCTTGATCAAGCAAAGCAATAACATCGTCAGGCTGAATTTCTAAAGCTTTATTTAAATAATTAAGAGAATCTTGATACCGTCCTAATTTACGATAGACTTCTCCTTCATAAATCAAAGCAGCGACATTGTTAGGGTCAATTTCTAAAACTTTATTTAAATCATTAAGAGCTTTATCATAAATTTTCAACGCATTATAACTTTGTCCTCTGTTAGACAAAGCCATGTTATTTGGATCGATCTCTAATGCTATGCTTGCGCTATCAACTGCCTCCTTATATTTGCACATGGAAAAGAAAGTAAAGCTTCGATCAATCCAAAGATTTATATTGTTTGGTTCAATGTCTATTGCTCTATCTAAATCTGAAAGTGCATCTTGATATTTTTGCATTTTACAATAAATGCCACTTCGCATATGCAATGCAAATATGCTGCTTGGCTCAATTTTTATTGCTTTATCAAAATCTTCTAGCGCTTTTTGATAATTATTCAATTTAAACAAAATTTCTCCACGATAAACTATTACAGTTGCATTATCTGGTTCAATTTCTATTGCTTTGCTTAATGTTGAGATAGCATCCGAATAATTTTCTTGTTCAAAATATTCTAATCCTTTATAAACTAATTGTAAATGACTTGTTTCAGTTGATTGATCTAATAAATTGACACTATTGACATTTTTTCTGTAGTGATCATCATAACTTGTTGAAAAAGCAACATCTTTAGCAAGTGTTTCCTCATTATTATCGTCATAAATTGGTGAAAAATCGCCACTTTTAACAAAAGATTCTTCATTATTATAAATTTGCGATAAATCGTTGTCTTCAGCAAGGGCTTCCTCATAACATGCAAGTTTACGGTATTTTTCTACATCATTGACCAAATCTTCAACATTCTCAATACCATCTTCTAAAGCTTTGTATAATTTTTCCATTGCTTCTCCATACTTTTTCGCCATGTTTCCTAATATAGTTATGCAGAATAAATAAATAAAAGAAAATGCGTCAAAATATAACCAGTCTTTCCATAAATCAGCCATAGAGGTGAATTATATTTGTTGGATTAGAAGAAACTCTTTAGCTTCGTCTAATGACTATAATATAAACCAATCAACTCATAACTATTGAAGCTTGCATGCTTATGTTTAACTTTATTGTGCTTTAATAAAACAATAAGTAACAATAATCACCTATCAATAAAATGATTAGGATGAGAGAAAAAATATATAAATTAATAAAAAAATATGTAAGTAATTTTTATTTCAAAATTAAAAATGCTTGCCTGTCTGAAGAGTCTGATCTGTCTGAACTTCATGAACAGATTTAACTATTTTTAGACAAAGAAAATGAAATTGCATAATTAAAATGTATTTAATTATAAATGTGCTTTTTTCAGAAAGAAATTGTTGTAAAAGCCATATTTATTCTTTAAAGTAAAATAAAATTCATTATGCACAAACCTCAAGCGAATTAAAAAAACATACTGTACCTTAAATAAATATAAAAAGGAATATTTATTGACGATGCAGACACAGATAAAATATATTAATAACAACAATATATAACAAGGTAAATCGTATTATGACAACTATGAGTACCTTGAGGAGATACCATTTCTGGAATAAAAAATATTGGTGAGAAAAAAATAATAAAATTCTTTTTATTTTGCAAAATATAAGTTTTATGCAGATTTTTTTTACTTACCAATGATGATGTGAATATGATCGGTAGCAGGTGTTTCTGTAAAAATATCACTAATTTTATTCACAGGGCAGTCTAATTTTTGAACGCCTTTCTCTTTATTATTCTCGAGCGCAAAATTTGTTTGCATATCGCCATCATTGACAGGAATATTAACCTTCCATATCACGAGATCATTGGCGTCAATATTTCTATAAAATATTTCCTTTTCTTTTTTTATTGCTTTCCTGAGATGAGCAACAGTTTTGTCCTTTTCTATATCTACTACAAAGAGTTTTTCTGTAGATTCGCCTTGATTTAAGCAGAAAAGATTTATGCTGTCGGACATTTTGAATAAAATTCAAATAACCAAAATTTTAGTATTTCACATATATGTACAAATCATTTCTGTAATCACGTATGTACCATATCCGTGATTTACTAAATTGGTCCTTATAATAGGCCCTTAAAATATGGGTCATTGCTTGAAAATGATCTTACGGAACACAGTTATGTCCAAGGCAAAGCATCATATTTGCTGATCAAATAAATTAATTAGGTGATTGAAATTTGAGCTCCAATTAATTTCAAATATTAGTTCAACGTTACTATCAATATAAATAAAATTTTCATCTAATAAGAATTATGGGTTTTTCCTTTGCTGCACTCAAATTTAATTCATTAGATAATGGCAAAACCCACTAGATTTTAATGTCGGTTGTTTTGATTAATACTGCAATTCATCGAATGACTATTAATATAAAATTATAATAACGTAAGTTATTTCTGCATTCTTAATTATTAAAATCCTATAAATTTTTAGAGTATAAGTATAATTTATTTTGAGGCGTACCAAATATTTATTAACCCCCTTAAACAACTCTTAAAATCGTGAAACGTGAATTGCCAAATTTTGTGTTATTTGATTATCTAACAGTACAAAAGCTGTTTTATGTAATGAAACAATGACCAAAAAAGTAAATTTCGGGTATTATTAATTTGAAAAGGGTTTACCAGGAACGAATGCAATGAGTGTATGGTTTATACGCTGTTTGGAGTGGGATTTGTCCGCAAAATCTTAAGTTTGATTGGTCCGCATGACTTATTCGTCAAATTTTGTTTATTTTTCACATATTATCCATCACGCTATTATTTTTCACATATGAATCCATCACGTCTTATATATGTGTATCCTCGTGATACATTGTATGACATAGATCAATGAAGGTATCTATATTAATGATGCCTGACGAAACTATTTTCACAGTGACGAAATGGTTTCGTCAGACGAAACCTTGACGATTGACGAAACTACTGACGATTGACGAAACTCCTGACGATTGACGAAACTCCTGACGATTGACGAAACTCCTGACGAAATTAATTTGGCCAATAAAATATAAAAGTAGAGCCGTCCTCCTTTTGATGAGCTTTTTTATAACGACCTCCGGATACTCTGAATCTTAAAAGTTTCAAAATTACTGTTATTTCATCATTATATTATATGAAGATATAGTCCTATTTTGACACGTAATGTAAGCCATCATCATAATGCTGGCCAGGGGCGTATTGTCGGGCGGAATTAAGGATTTTGATGCAAAAGTCTCGAAAATTCCGAAAAGAAAATGTATGAATATAAAAGAAGAACAAGATTGGGGTAAAAATTTGAGCACGTATCTGATATTTTCCAAAGGGAAAATATAAATTCCAAAAATTATTTTATGCGATATCATATGCATGTTATTATAAAATGCGCATTTCCCTCATTACTAGTAAGCATTGACATCGGCATCAATTGTCACAAATGTTAACACCTCAAAAGTTAAGACCACAGAATTAATTTTTAGCTACATAATTTTATTCATAACCTACCGGAAACATCCGGATAATTAATGCAAATCATCGGGAAATGTCAGATAAAAATAGAAACCGGGTAGAATATCAAAATTTCACATAATTTCTAAAAGAAAATCATATTTTCATTTTTTCTTATATATTTACTATGCTTAATGCTATATTACATATAAAATTCATGATTCATTATGCATTTTGTCATGAGTTTTGTCATTCATCATGAGTTTTGTCATTTGTTATGAGTTTCATCATTTGTCACGAGTTTTGTCATTCATCAATTTGAAGTTACCTGACGAAATGGTTTCATCATTCATCTAGACAAAACTATTTTGTTATTCGTCAGGCATCATTAATCTATATGCGTTTAAAATGCTGATAATTACAAACATAAGCGATTTCAGAGTTACAATAGCTAATATTAAAAGCAATAATTTTATATGCAAAAATTGGTGACCCAGTGCAATTTTATTTGTCTGTTTATTTGATATTTGGTATTTTTTGTTTTTTTTCATAGGATCTTTTATTGAGTTAATTAACTGATAATCACTGATCGTCAAAGAAATTTGCAAAATGTTTTTTCAATAATTGGTTAAACTAAATGTAATATGTTAACTAGTTCAGGAGCTCTTTTTTTTTCTAATATCTCTTGCTAAGGTTTATGGTTGTCAAGAATGTCCTTTCATAAATTTTTGTACAAACTAATCATATCAAGCATATCAAATATACTTAAAGACAAAATTTGATAATATTGCTGCACTGAGTAAGGAGTTCTCAGGCACTTCACTTATTGGATTAGATGTAAAATTTAATTAATCATAAATTAAATAAATTAATGAGACCAATTTAATTCAGTGGTTTATATTACACCCCCTCTCCTGCCTTTCCTATCACTATATACACAAAAATTTTGAAAATTTTTTATAATATTGTAGATCATTTCAGAGAAAAATTTATAATAAACTCCCTCCAGCCCCTTCCCCTTCTCTTTTTTTGTGAGTAGGATGTAATATAAACCACTGAATTAAATTGGTCTCACCTAAGCAAGACACAGGGTACTCTCAAGCATCTTCCTAAGTGTGATTAGATAATGATTGAGATAACACACAATCATTACAATCAATGAATATAAAGATTGCGATCAATGATTGAGGTTGCTCTCAAGTGCTTCAATCAATAGATTGGTGTATAAATTTTAATTAATGAAAATTAGCACAGTCAGTCAAGAGAGTTTATCACCACAGTCAAAAAAAAAGATGGTTGGTGACCATTTTTTTTTCTTATAGAGCTGAGCTGATTGGCTAAAATTTATCATAGAGTGAGATTATTCAAGCACTTTACAATTAAATTATTTTTTTTTTACGATCAAGTTATGATTTTTTTTATAATTGAACTAGTATTTTTTTTATTATCAAATCTTTTTTTTTTTTTTACCATTGAACCAGATTTTTTTTATGATCGAATTAGTATTTTTTTTATTATCAAATCTTTTTTTTTTTTTTTACAATTGAATCATTATACATTGCACTTATACTTTGTACTAAATACACTTCTAACAATATGGATCTTAACAACAAATTACTTTTATACTCTTCATATTAGAAACTTTCATAACAGATAAAAATATCAAGAAACTCAAAAAAAATAAATAAGAGACAATTGTTATTTTTGGATAATGTTCATCGATTATTTGTTTTATTTTCTGAAATAGTATTAGCGTTGAATGAACTTGATATTTCATCTGACTACTATTAGTAGTTGAAGTTTGATTATTGTCACTAACAGGATGACTTTAAAAAAGATATAAAAAAATTTTTTATTAATTTTTTATAAAAAATTACAAATTTAAATAAAATTTAATATATACTTCTTCATATTCACTATTAGTTCTATTTAAACTAAAGGATTAAATAGTGGCACAGGAAAATAATGTTGTTGTAACAGCATATGATAATTTGTTAAATTCATAAAAGAAACAACAGGAGTATTGTAATTAAGTGAAGGAATAATAGAACTATTTGGAATTGCTAAAGAAGTTGCGGAAATACTTTAAGTAGTTGGAACAGATAAATTTGAAGTTGTCGGTAATGGTAATATTTTTTTTTGTTTGTTGAATAGTTACTTTTTTTTTTTGTTTGTTGAAGACATGTTTGTAATATGAAAAGAGTTCACTCAATCATTGTTCACAATCTTTCTATTTATTGATTGTAATGATTGTGCGTTATCTTAATCACTATCTAATCACACTCAGGAATATGCTTGAGAGCACCCTTAATTAGAGTTTTCTCAAATACTTCACTAAATAAATTTTCAATAGTCATAAATTGAATAATTTAACCAAGTGAGCAGTTATTTTAATAAACAGGTTAGTGAGCTACAAGCCATCTTTTTTTTCAAAATTTATTATTAATAAAGATTGCTCAAGTATTATTTTTGCATTTTTTACATAATAAACAAAAAATAGATAATTTATTTTTAATACTCAAAGCCTTTAAAGCAAATAATCAAACCTTGTATAAACATAATAATTGTTTAGCAAAGATGACCCAAAAATTGAAGGATTTGATACAAACTGGTTCCATGTTATGCCTATACAACCTGCTCATTCATTGCACCTAACAATCTACTAATTGTTATGTATAGTGAGTTAAATGCGCCACACTATAGCAGGGGCTCAAACTTGCTACTTCATTAATTGATATAGTTATGTGTAATGAATGAATATGGGTTCAAACTAACTATCTTATAAAGATTAATGTTGTCATGTAATGAATTGAATATGCACACCATAGTATGGGCTCAAACTTTTGCTTCTTTTAAAGTTGATGTTATCATGTATAACAAGTTAAATATACACCATAACATGGCCTCAAAATTCACTACTTTATATATTAAAGTAGTTGTCATGCATACTGAGTAAAATGCGCTGCATCATAGAATAGGCTTAAACTTGCTATCTTATAAAAGTTAATGTCATATATAATGAATTGAATATGCCACACCATAGCATGGGGTCATACTTCTGATTCTCTTTTATGCTTCGTCATTTGAGCATATATCTATATGAAAATAGATAACATGCAATTGCAGAAGATTAATAAACTAGATAGCTGTGCGATGTCATCACACAAAACCAGAAACAGAAGATCTAAGTAGAGGACAGAATCAATGCATCTAATACTATGAATTTGCAAATAGTTATAATAAATTCTAGTGCTAATATTCAAACTTTATTAGAGAGTTATTATATACATTATATATTAGTACATTTGATATATAATTAAAAAAGATATATAGTATATATTCATGCATTTGATGTATAATTGGAATTAGTCAGCGGTTTCCCACCTACATAAATGCAAAATGACTGTTAGCTAGAAGCTTTGTAGTCACATGATCTTAGCTGGTGGTTTTCCACCTAAATAACACAGGCCAGCTGTAAAGAGATATTTAAGCTACTACAAAGTGACAGGATTCTATTAAAAGAGGGTAGGGCAA